ACAGAACATTTACTTCCTGTTTACATCACATGACCAGTTTTTGTGAATGGTCATGTGACATGTGTTCTCAGGTTTGTTAGTATATACAGTATATATTGTATATACTAACAAACCTGATCAGTACTGAAGTATATACTGTACGTACAGTATATACTTCAGTACTGATCAAAGGTTATTTTTACCTGAAACCTTGTTCAGAAAATCCACATTGTGTCTCCAGTTAAACATTATTCACATCTGACCTCCATATCCTTGTTGTCATTGTTCTTCCCCCTCCTCTTCTTCTTCTTCCACCTCCTCCTCTTCCTCAGTGCTGCGGCTGTGACACCTCCTCGTCCAGATGTTGGTGTGTGGACTGTGGTGAGGCTCTGTGTGACGACTGTGTGTCGGCTCATCGTAGAGTCACAGTAACCAGATCACACCGGATCCTCAACCAGCCGCCAGGTAAGACCCCCCCCACCACCACCACCACAAACTTCCTGTATCTGAGCATCAGGGGCTTTCTTTCTCTCTCTCACCTGCTCAGCATCTCAATTTGTCTCCTCAGGAAATGTCTCGACTCGTCCCACCAAGTTCTGCAGACTCCACCCGTCTGAGCCGCTCAAACTCTTCTGCCTCACCTGTGTCCAGTACACCTGTAGAGACTGTCAGCTGATTGCTCACATGAACCACAGGTACACGTCTGACATGAAAGAGCCAACGTGTGGTATGTATGTTCTACCGTAGAAACAAGGCGGTGCAACATGGTGGACTCTGTAGATTTCCTGATGAGTCTCGATGAATGAAAACAATCAGCTGACAGACCTTCACTCTCAGATCAGCTGATTGTGTCTCGTCCTCTCAGGTATCTGTTCGTCAGTGACGCTCTGAACCATACGAAGAAGCAGCTGGTGAACTGGTCTCAGCCAATCAGAGCGCAGAGAGACACAGCGAATCAGAGTCTGAAGGACATGCAGACCAGGTACGGCCCTGACTTCCTATCTGCCGTCTCCATGGAAACAAGCGGCTGTAAATAAAAGCATGTTGTATTTCAGGCTGCAGCACATCAAGGAAGGTGAATCTCAGCTGGAGGCGGAGCTGAAGAAGTCACACGATATCTGTGCTCAGCTCCTAAAGAGGAGGATGGACAAGCTGATGGAGGAGGTCAAGGTAACGTCACATGACCTGCAGTCATGGGATCATGAACAGCTAATAGGTAGAAAATGAAGCGGGAACTATAACTGATAATCAATGAAGGTTGTTAATGAAAGTTTTAATTTGTGTGTGTGAGCAGAGGGAGTTGAAGAGTGAGAGTGACTTGATTCAGAAGCAGATGGAGAAACTGAACCAGCTGCAGAAGAAACAGATTTTTGTGACTGACAGTGCAGATAGAGCTCAGAACATCCAGGACCTGCAGAGCCTGTTCAGATGCTGCAAACAGGTGAGACCCTGGCCCTTCATTCACACATCTACAGTTTCATTTTAAAATTCAAACAACTGTCCAGATGAGTGTTTTAGCTCCGGATCAGTAATAACCTCCGTCCACACTACCACACTTGAGAACACATGTCACATGACCATTCACTGGTCATGTGATGTAAACAGGAAGTAAATGTTCTGTATTTATATATATCTTTTCTAGTCTTGATGACAATCACAGCTCTTTACAGTTTATTGCCATCCACTCATTCAGACACATTCGTACAGTGCTTCTATGGGCAGCACTTTTCCTATGAGGGGCAATTCAGGGTTCAGCATCTTGCCCAAGGACACTTCGGTATGCAGATGGGGAAGACTGGGATTGAACTGCCGACCTACTGGTTAGGCTCTACCCCCTCAGCCACAGCCGCCTCCCAAGAAGAGTGTCTCCTCTGCAGTTGGTTGCTTAGTTACAGAAAATACTACAAATCAGGAACAGCAATGGTCAAAAGTAAGAGCAGGGATTTATTTTTGTAACTGTTACTGACAGTAAGTTTTAGCATCAAGGCTGGAAAAGCTGGAGGAGTGTGGGCGCTGGCCGTAACCATAACAACAGTGATGAGTATCAGTGTGGGTGGAGCCTAGCTCTTTTCTCCTGGAGCTCAGACATGTGAACCAGGAAACCAGGAAGTGATCATGTGACCGTCTGACACAAGTTCAACATTTTTAATGACAAACTTAAAAATAGTGGATGGTTTATTTACCGTCACAGATCAGTTTATCTCTGCTCCACAGACACAGTCAGACCATCTCGAATGCAAAAAATGATGAGATTTTGGTGGTCAAAGGTCGTATCAATTTCACAGTGCACATTTTTTTATCATAACTGAAAAGTTCATGAACTAATTTTCACAAAATAGACTTTAAACCTTTTATTCAATTCCCTGTCTTCACTATGACATGAGTCAGGATGTAAACTGAAAGTAGATAAGTTGGTAGAAGTGAAAAACCAGAAGTCTATGATTCTACTTTTTGTGTCTGTTCTGATTAGTTTGTGAACAAGCTGAACAGAACAGAGATAAGCAATCACTTGTTTTGTTTTTTTCTGCAGGTGAAGTATCAGCTGAAAGATCTTCAGGATCAGGTCTTGTCTCCTCCTGAGACCATGACGCTACTGCAGGTCATTGTCGACCGCCAGTCTCTGGAAACGCTTTTAAACTTTGGTGAGCTGTGTTCATCTGATAACTTTATATGTGGAAATTATGACTTCCAGTGGTGACCACAGCATTCTGAAAACACGTCACAGGAACATTTATGTACACTAGTCATGTGGTGTAAACAGGAAGTAGTAGGTTGCTTAGTAAAAAAAAATCCTCTGAAGGGGGAAGAGGGATGGTAAAGATTTTTAAAATCTCCAGTTGTTTGATTGTTCTATTTATTAATTTCAGAAACAATTCAATATTAATTTAAGCCTTTTCCAATATCAACCAGTGGATTGATTCAATCAGCTGCTGACACGTCATTGTTTCTGTTTCCAGGTAAACTTGAAGTTGAGAAGATTCCCTTCTCTATCTCACAAATCTCCAATCATAATCCTCCTCCAACCTCAGACTGTCCTAAACCCTCCAACATGTTACAGTTGTTGTCCCCTCAGTTGAGTCTTCCTCCCTCTTCCTGCCCAAGCCTCAACCAGCCCACCCTTCCTGTGACAACCAGCTTTGCAGTTACCAACCCTCAGCATGTCCGACCTCTGTCCTCCTCAACTCTGGAGTCAGGGTCTCCTTTGCAGAGAAACCCAAACCAAACGATGCTGTTGAATTACGTCCTGCCAGTTTCTTCTTTAATCATTATGAAGCCTATCACATCCAATTTCTTCAAGTCGACAGATCAGTCTTCGTCCTGCACAGTCCCCAAACTTGTCCAACCATCTCTGGTTTCGAAATCAACAAATGCTTCAGATCAGAACCAGCCCTCCTCTGACCTGCTTACCAAACCTCAGATTGTGCAGCAGGTGCCCTGCAGGCCCCACAGTGTCTCCTCAGTCATGCCTCAGTTTCCCTTGATGCTCAGTCAGAAGAAGGCCAACACATTACCTGCAGAGACCTTACCAACAAACACATTGATTAGAAACATGTTGCCAAAACAACAGAATCACTTAGGCCTAAAGAGAAACTCTGCGTTGCTTCTGGGTAGAAAGTCCCTCCTAGCAGAGAGCCGTCCCGTGTCCTCTACAGGAAACTCTGGATCTGTTGGACAGGGACACAAAGTGCTGCCAAAGACAGATAGAAGCTCTGCACCTCTAGCCCAACTAACTCTCATGTGTGACACACACGGGAAGAGGTATGAGATACCTTTTTCCTCCTTTGTGAAACACCGGCAGATTCCGGTGGTGAAGGCAGTGGCAGACTCTGCCTGTGATCACACAGTGCAACAGATGTCAACAAGGCAGGAAGAGTCTCCTGAAAACAAACCAACCTCTACCCTGTCGGAAGAAACAGAGCCTGCCGAGAGCAAACCAACCTCCACCCTGTGTGAAGAAACTGAAGCTGCCGAAAATAATCCAACCTCCACCATATCTGAAGAAAACAAACTTGTGGTGAAGAAACCGACCTTCAACAAATCAACCTTCACCGTATCTGAGGAAATGGAACCTGCAAAGAACAGACCAAACTTTAACAAACCAACCTTCATTGATTCTGAAAGAACAGAATCTACAGGGAAAGACAGAACTGCTGAAGGTCTGAGCTCTTTGATTGGACTGCAAGACTTCTGTCTGAGCCAATGTCAGCCTAGAGTGTCACTATTCAGACTGCCATTGTCCCTGCTCCGAATTGCATATCCAATGCTCAGTTCCAGTCTCCCTGCAGAGAACAAACACATCTCTGCCAAATGTGAAGAAACTGAACCTGCAGGGAAATTGTCTCCAACTGAAACAACAGACACTGTAGAACCAAGCTTTGAGACTGGACAGCAGGACCTCAGGCAGCCCAAAGTGTCTCTGAGCAGACAACCATTGACCCTGCTCCCAACTCGACGTTCCCTCCCTGGTTCTCTTGCTAGAATCGCTGATGATGAGGTTTACGTGGAAGAGCTGGATGAGGACTGTCAGGTAGGAAGTCACATGTCAATCATGATGTTTGAGCCAGAAAACTGGACCAGGCAGCATTCACACATTTACCAGCTAACCTTAAACCATTGAGGTGAGACTACTGTCATGTTCTTGTGTTTCAGTCCCATATCAGTGACATCTCAGATGACTTTGGGGATTTCACAGAACCTCTTTCGTCTCCTGAGTCTCCTGTGACACTAGAGATAGTTTACTGCTCAGCGTGTGGATCTGATCACAGTTCAATAATCTGCTCATCCTGTGGTCGAGGATACCACCGAGACTGTCATATTCCCCCTGTTGGACATGACCTGTGGTAAGAATCAGTGAAGCTCATGAGGTTTGGTGATTTGCATTGACACATTTACATTTACAATTTATGTGTTAGGATGTTAGAGGTGAAAGAAGAGGAGCTTCAGGACTTTCTTAAAGACTTGCTCTCTGTAGACGGAGTAAACAAGAGTGAGTAAACTTGATTCTGGAGGTCAGGGGTCATCAGTGGAGTTGCTGGATCACCTGTCAGAGTATCACTGAGCATGAAGGGAGGAGTCATGGTCTGAACCAGGAGCTGGTGGAACACTGAGTCAGGTCAGACCTGATTACTCTGATGTTGTTTAGAACAAAGATTTGCCACCTGAAGACAGATGCATCATGGTCCGAGAAGGAGACCTGCTCATCAAACATGACACTCATTTTCTCATGATGTCGGCTGAGGTGAGAGAAGAAGAGGTGATTCTGATGAAGATGGTGAAGAGTTCAGTCTTTGGAGAGATTTAGTTGAAGGTGGTGTTTTGTTAGATATGTCACAGATTTGTGTTGAGACCTGGGGTTCGTCTGGCAGGATTGACAGGATTAGTTGAGTGTCATCAACATGACATGAGGAGTCATCTGAGGAAAAAATTGGACACAAGGAAGTGTTGTACAGTGCTTAGAGAAGATGCCCCTGCACCCAGCCTTCCCTTCTACACCACGACACAGCGAAGGAACGTTATGACTACGTACACTGAAACTACGCCACCTGCCTTGTTCACAACATAATCTTGTAGCATTGCTCATTTGTTCAGAACAAAGGAGTTCGTTGTTTTGCTGGATTATGCATTTTAATTCAATTTTATTTTATTTTTATAGCACCAAATCATAATATACATTAAAGTGTGAAGACAGCAGAGTTTCTGTCTGTTCATCCCTCCTCTTTGTCTTACAGGACAGAGTGGAACTGTTCACTGTGTCAGGACCTGTCGGACCCCTCAGACCCCTACATTTCTGAGAGACCAAAGAGTCCTCAGCGGCCCTGTCTCAGTCTCCTGGACCAGAGGGTCAGAGTTTGCGCCCACCAACTTAATATTCCTATCAGTTTTTGAAGTTACACCAAATACTTTCAGCTGCTGTGTTTTAAACTGTTGTTTTGTTTCAGAGGTGTGAAAGTCTGCTGCTGCACCTGAAGGTCGAAGGCTGCAGTCGACTCTCTAAGGTCAGTTCATCACACTGTGGACCCTGCGTTTGGTGACTGCGACTCTCAGGTTCATCCATATGAGGGCGCTGTTAACCACTGAAGACATCTTAGACTCTGCGTATCACACAATTAGTGATCCGGCAGTGTTGCCCATTAATTACCTAGACAGTGATGGTGGCGGCCCACCGTAGTACGCATGTTTTCAGATTTTGTAATGCACTGGTTTATCCACTAGCACTCCAACAAAACATTTGAGAGCAGTGGTGACTGGTCAATAGACGGCGCTAGGGCACCGCCCTCTCTTGTGGAGAGTGTTTTATATATTTTTTTATTTAAAAAAAAATTAGCTATGATAAATTATTTAAGTATCTATGTGTTTAAATTTCACAATAACATGTGTTGTATAACATATAAATAAATATGTTCAGTAGAAATGTGTGGGAAACGAGTGTTCAGGGACACAGTCAGTTCAGGGGCTGGAACCGTCGCCCATAAAGCAGAGACGAGGAGCCAATAAGAGGCTGTTGCTGGGTAAGATACACGTACGGCAAAGTAAACTTGGCAAATCAAAATAAAATAATGATTCTGATAGCGCCCCACGCCAGGTCCCTCAGTGTTGTGGTGGAGGACGTCAGGCGGTCCTAGCATCAGTGATCCACAGGAAACTGCATCGCAGCCTCCAGATTCAGGACGATCTATTCTCCGACCTCCATTCGAGGAGAACTTTGGTTAAAAACTGTGAATTAAAGAAACTGAACCAGATGAAGCTGATTTTAAAATCAACCAACAAGCCAGAGAAAAGGTCAAACGTTCACCCGAGGAGTTTCCCGTCAGCTGTGCAGCAGGAAGGCGTGGCTAGCAGGACGTATGGACTATGAGTCATAAGATATCCAGCAGTAGATGTGTGTGTTTCAGGATGAGGAGTAAACACTAGTGCCCAGACTCAGTCTAATGAAGCTCTACTGACTCTGAGCACAAGGGCCACAACCATTCATAATTTACATGATTTATCAAACAGCTGATTATTATTATTTTTGCATATTTTAGTTTTTTAAGTTTGTTTGTGCACGATGCAGTTAGCTTTCTGCTTTCGTGTAAAAATGACTGACATGTTTATTGATTAAATAAATACCAAGACCTGGAGTCCTGCAGTTTGTGTTCAATCGTAGTGGGATGGTTACTGAAAACATTATGGCCCGGCACAGCCCCACCAAGAAGAGTTTTCACCTGCTGCTTCTGATTGAGAGTAACTCACCACTGATGACGTTTATCTTGTTTTCAGGTCAGTCGTGTTTGGTTTCGTCTGATGTTGATGTCAGAGCGTCTCACTCTCCATCGTCCTCCTGCTTATCAAACACCTGCAGAATTCATCTGTGACGTCTGGAGTCTGTTCAAACAGACCATGTCCTCACAGGTGAAAAAGACGTATATAAAGACCATCACTGACTGTATATAAAGATGATCACTGACTGTATATAAAGA